CGCCTTGTCCGTCTTGAGCTCGTAGAGAAGGCCAAAGAACTGCAGAAAGGCCGTGAGGAGGAGGCGCCAGCACGCTTGCATAAAGGGTGGCGTGTCGGTGAGGAGCGCAAACCAAATGCCACCCGACGACATGGCGAGGACGGCGATGATGAGGATGAGGTACGACCAGAGCGGCGGCGACGCCTTGCCGATGAAGGAGGCTGTGTCTGTCACCGACGACCGCGGGCTCTCGACGCTGCTGACCATGCTCAAGCAAGTTGGACTCTGAAGTGCAATGTGGGTCGGTGGTCGTCGTCGACGATACGGCGTTTGAAGTTACGCCGACCACCGAGTTGGCACCGAGTTGTGAAAACTGTCGCAGGCGCGGCGAAAAGCGCACCAATTTCAACAACTGTTGGGTGCGTGTTTATACTAACCGCCACCGACGGATCGTGTTTTGCTCGGTGGACGGACCACGGGCAGCCAAAGCTTCCTGTTCGTCTAGCTGGTCTAGAACATGGGCTGGCAGAGGACGGTATACAACTTGGGCCACGCACACTTTTTTTAAATGCCACTGCCAACGTTTGTGCTTTGTTAGGCATGCAGCGAGGACTCGACCTGCCAGAGGCTCCCGGGAAGCGAAGAGGAAATAGAAGGTTCGAGTCGGGCCTGGTTGCTTGAACGTAGATAGCGACGAAGAAGATGCATGTAAAATGCGTGCTACAATAGTACAACGAGAATATATCGTTGCACTGCAAGCACCACATCAGAGAACGACCCTTCAGGGTACCGTAGGGATCAAAACGAGGTGCGCCTTTGCGTCGATTTCGCAAACCCGGTCTCCACACGAAGGGTTCGGAAGGCTGGAAACACATGGCGGTAATACCAATCATGGCAGCGGATCTTCAAGTCGAGACCATGGGACGTCCTCGGCATACCGCGAGAGGAACTCTGGCTTTTTATAATGCTTTTTATACCCGTGCACTAACGAGCAAGCCGACTCGGACATGCATCATGTCATTTGCATGGGAAACTTTATGTTTAGAGATGGCATTGAGGCATCTTCTGCAGCGAGCCATAACTCTCGGAGGCGCTGGCGCTGCCACGTATGCTTTGGCATGAGCTGGCGGTTGCGGTGGCAGTTTTAGCGTGTTTTGATTGGCCGATGCGAGAACAATTCACCAATCAAAATCGTCGAAGTGGATGCAAGATCGCAGAAGGCCAACCAGTGCCTCGCCCGCGCTGCCCAATAATGCCAACGATGGCTGTCTCTGTGAGCTGATAAATGAGGCTTTTCAAAGGTACTACGGTGCTCCTCTACGCCGCTCATTCGTAATATCCGATGCTTCAAGGAAGACTCGGGTGCGCACACCTATTCATGTTCACATGCATTTTGGCACTGTAGTACAGTACACCAGCCCGTGCTGAATTAATAGTACTTTCGTTGTTTAATTCAACTTTTGGCAACTGTTGACAGCCCGTGGGTTTCATCGCCTTGCTAGAAACGAAGGGTATTTTTTTTATCCACGGTGCCGTTTCGGTCGTGCCACGTCATGGAAGGTTTCGGCGCGAGAACGTATTCTATACGTCTCGATGCCGCGTGTCGCCGACAGCAGCCAACAGCCGACGCGGCGCTACGCTGTCAAGTGCAACTACGTCGGTCTCTTTTTGAGTACCTGCTCGCTCCTCAACATTGCGTCCATGGTAGCCTTCTCGCCTCACCTGCTCATTGCGGTATCCCTCGTCGTGCGTAGCCCATGAAGGCGTACATCTCCGAGTACCTCCCTTGGCGCGCACCGCCCGTCATGCCCGACATGTTCAGCAATTTTTCCGACTTTAGCGCGCACATGCTCGCCTTTGACAAGCGACTGTACAACAATGCCACGCTTCCGCAGGGGGCGACGTACGTGACCGACTGGACCAACGACGTGCAAGTGATGCGGCAGGTGCTCTATCCATCGGTATTGGCTCCGCTGGCCCCAGAGGCGTGCCTTGGCTCGTTTCTGCTCGGCATGCCGGGCTTGATCTTTTACACGCCCGCGCAAATGGATCTGCTGTGCAGTCTCGTCGCAACAACAAATGCGTCGGAATTGTATTTTCCGCCAGGCGCATGTTTTGCCAACGCGCTGTCGTCCCGTAACGTTGGCACGTCGTGCTACTGGATCGACCACGGAAACACGCTCACGAACGCAACCGAGCCGGACGCCGTGACGCTCACGTACGTGTACAATGCGACGCGGTACTACAAATGGCTCTGGTGCAAGTTTGCCTACCGCATTCTGAGCACCTGCTTTGTGATCTATCGACTCTGGACGCAATACTATCGTCACTGTCTGTGGCTCCATCGACGCCTGGCACGCGCGAGCCACTTTGCAACGCCACCCACAACAAACTGGCGCTACGAGCTCGTGCTGGGCGACCCCACCGCCATCATCCTCATGGATCCGATGGTCGCGCTGGTCTTTCTCGTCGACATTTGGATCAGCATCGGCAACGTCGGAGTCGCGGTGCTGCGCGCCTCCCAGAACGGCGACGTCACCGTCAACTTGCTCAACATCCTCTACTTGTCGCGGACGGTGCATTTGTCTACATCGACGTGTCAGAGTAGCAACATATGTATTAGGTCTGGTTTGGCTACTTTGCACTTTGCCTCACGGCGTTCTGTCTCCGGCGCTATTCCAAGCAACACCTCTTTGCCGACGTCGACACGACCATGGTGGCAATCGGCGTCACCGTCTACGGCCCGCTCATCTCGTGGCTCAGCGGCAACGTTGCCGCGCTGGCGGCTGCGTATCAATGGTGCTTTACCGCACCTGTCCCTGCCGACAAGACGAGCCAGCAAAATGAGCTCGCGCTCGGCTGTGTGCTCTATACGCTGAGCATTGCCTGCATGCCAGTGACCTACGGTTTTACCGCGGCCTTTTGTGCGCCAGCGTATTC